CAGGGTCCCCAGGCTTTGGCCCTTCTTCTGCTGCTTTCCCAGACCATAGCAAGGAACTGGATGAGAAGTGGAGCAGCCAGCATACAAACCAGTGCCCATGAAGGAAGCTGGTGCTTGAAGGTGGAGGTTTAGCCTGTTGAGCCTGGGCGCCAGTCCCAAATCTCATGTTTTGATTCTGTTTTCCATAAAGTGTTTCAAGGACCATTGTAACAACTATTTCCATGGAGCTCTCCTTAATATTTGATTTGATTTGATTTGTTTGAAAGAGGGGGAGGAGGGGACAGAGGAGTAGAAGGAAGAGAGAGAGAGAGAATCAATCCTAACTGCTGGCTTATTTCCTAAACGCTTGCAACCGTCAAGGCTAGACCAGGCCAAAGCCAGGCGCTGGGGATGCAATCCAGGTGTCCCTGGCAGGAGGCAGCGCCTGGGGGCAGGAGCCCACCCACTCGGACCATCACCACTGCCTACTGATATCGCATTGGCAGAGTCCAGCCAGGCGCTCAGCATGGGCAGCGGGCAGCTTAGCCCCACTCTGGCCAGGCAGAGCTCTCAGTGTCACTGGTGGGCACTGGTGCTCACAGCCACCCCAGATGCCCCAGCAACTGGGGCCAGGGAAGGGCCCACTCCTGAGCCACTGACTGCCTATCCCCCACCACCACGCTTAGGCCCCAACCTGGAGTTGCCATCCAACTTTAGGGGCCGTAAAGAGCTGAGTCCACTGAGGGAGACTTCGAGGGGCCAGGGCTGGAGAGGGAGGGTAGCTACACTGACCCTTGCGGACACAGGCCTAGGCACCCTGCTCATATGATTCTAGATGATTCTGCCTCTCTCTTCTCGCTCTGGCCCCCAGACCCCAGTCCCTGTGGGATCGTTGACAAAACCAGAGCCTGCTGCCCTCTGCCACCCCCACCCACCTGTCTCCTGTGCCCCAGCCTCTGGGATATAATTGTCACCAGGACTAGGGCTGGCATCCAAGGACAGGGCAGCCTGCCATCAGCACGTCCCATGAGCCAGCCCTGGCTGGGTCCTCTGCCCTTGAATCCCTGCCAATGCCCTTTGTGTTTTTAGGGGTCCAGCCTGCCAGGGTGAGGGCAGGGACCCCTCTGTGACTTGGGGTGGCCTGAGGCCGGTGACAGCAGCTGTTTCCTGCGCTGACACATGCCTGTTCTGGCTCTCACCTTCTGGTCCAGAGAGCCTTAGGCAGCGTGGCTGGGAACACCCTCTCTGCAACTTTGAAGAAAGTCAGCCACCCTCTCCAGGCCTCAGCCTCCCCAGCTGCAGAATGGCTGTAGCTCTCACGTAATGGGACAATTGGAAGGTTAACGGGCTAACACCACGTGGGCAGGGCTGAGTCCAGGCACTGCATACACTGCGGCCATTGTGATCAAGAGTGCAAAGGACATCCCAAGGGCAGAGGGAAGGGCAGGGGTGGCATCTGGCCCAGGCTCAGGGCCTTGGGGTTCTGGCTCCAGCTCTGCCATCCCCTGCTCCATGACCTTGGGCAGGTGGCATGCCTGCTCTGGGCCACAGCATCCTGCTGCACAAGGCAGAGTCCCTGGACTAACGTGCGGCAGTCAGCTGGGTCCTTCTGGTCTATTTTTGCCCACGACCCTTCTGCCACTCTGGACCTGGTCCAGGGGCTTTCCTGTGGTTCTGCTTGTGTGCAGAAGGCAGGGCCAAGCCCACTGCACCTGCCAAAGCCTCACAGCAGTCCTCTCTAGGCTTGCAAACTTCTTTTCGAAATCTACAGACTTCCTGGCAAGTTATGGAGTTGCACATCCCCAATCCTTCCCATAGGAAGATGAGGGCGGGGGGAAGAAAACGTAATGTCGGCCAAGATGAGCAGGGTCGGGACTCCTGCCTCAGACACCCCCAAGACCACCATGTGTTGGAGACAGAGAGATGGACAGAGAGAGAGAGGAGGGTGGCAGCAGTACCCTTAGCACCAACCCCCACCTGTGTGGCCAGGAGGGACCTGGACAAGCAGGGTCACCTGTCCACTGGGGCATCCTGAGCGACTTCTGTCTCCTCTGGCTTTGGTTTACCCACATGCAAACAACACACCTGTGATCAGTGCCCCCCCAGGGGTCCTTGAACTCTGACCCCTAGGTCCTATGGGGCTGAGACACTGGAGAGTACTTGGCAGTGAGCATGCCAGCATCCTCTCCCTCCTTCCTCTTCAGCATTGGTCTACAGGGAGCTGTGGTTCAGAAAGGGGGAGACGTTTTCCCAAAGCCACACAGCAGCTGGCAGAGGCCAGGTGGGGCTGCCTCATGGCTGCCCCACTTCAATGACCTAGCAGTGTACATGGCCTGCCCGAGGGGTCAGCAGACGCCATGCACACCCCACCAGCCCCTCTCCTCCCTCCCTCAGCGACACTGTGCCCCTGAGACCCCTTCACAGGGGGAAGGCGAGAAAACCTGGGGAGAAAGGCCCGGCTGCTCCCCACCCACTGTCACGGGGATAGAGGAGCGAGGGGAGGCAGGCTGTGCAGGCATTCAACCTTGCAAAGGCCTTTGGGGACGGAAGCCATGATGTTCTTCTCCAGGGCCCGGACGGGGGGCCTGGCCTGCTTCAAACTGTGCCCCTGGAGGCTGACCTGGAGCTGGGGGCACCTCACACTCTCCAGGGTGGCCTGTGGGAAAGGACTTTGCAGCATGCCCCCGGTGCCAGCCTTGCATCCCGCATCTTGGGTCCCCAGCCCCGCCATGACCAGTTTTGAAAAATGTGCTTATTTATTGGAAAGGCAGTTACAAAGAGATAGGGAGAGACAGAAATATTCTGTCTGCTGCTTCACTCCCCAAATGGCAGCAATGACCAGGGTTCATCTGGCTCTCCCACGTGGGTGCAGACACCCAAGCACTGGCTTCAAATGGACACTCCCATGCAGGGCAAGAGGTGAAAAGCTGGTGACATGGATGTGGCCTGCCCGGGGAACATCACACAAGGAGGACCACATCCTCCACACAAGGCCATCCTCACGGTGGCCACCAGCACCCCCTGCAGGCGCCGAGTGGGAATCTGGTGGCCAGACCCCAGCTGCCAGGGTCTGCAGGTCCTGCCCCAAGACGGGCATCCAGTGTCACATCCTGGCTCTGGGGACTGATGGCCTGGTGCCCCTGACCTGCCATTTAGCACTGAAAGCTGAGAAGCGCTGCCTCCCTCCACCAGCTGGGAGCAGGACAAGCGACAGGCTGGGACCTCACCCGTCTAAGGACCATGGGATCCTCCCTGAGGGAGTGGGAGGGTGCGGGCCTGCTTGGTGGGTCTCTCCTTCTGTCCCGAGGCCTTTTGCTTTGCCTGGGGCTGCAGCACGAGGACCCTGCCCACCCCCAGGTTCCTGGGGCTGCGCACAGCTGTCAGGTGTCACTACTAACCACCCAGCAGTCCAGCAGGCAGGAGTGGGGGGGGTCACTGGCTTGGCATGGGCTCCCAGGGTGGATTCCAAGCATGGTGACATGGGCAGAGGAGGAGCTGTGTCAAGCTGGGAACAGATGAGCATCTACCACCTGAGACTTGCCACTGTGCTACATCGCTTGCGCCCAGGCCACGGTGGTGTCCTGGACTATTCAGACAGGAAGGAGAGAGTCCTAATAGGAGACGCCGAGCTCTGAAAGTGGCTCCTCCACCGCCGTCTTACCCAGTAGGCCTAACGCCAGCTGCCGGCCATCCCTTCCTGGCTGCCCCTGGGCATTGGAGTCAGCAGCACAAACTGGGCCAGTCCTGGCGCCGTTCCCGTGCTCCTCCCCGCTTAGCACCGTGCTCCCAGCATGGCCCACATTCTGGCTTTGTCATGTTCTCTCCAGACTTTGGCCCTAACTTCCCATAGACGCCCCCGTCCTGGGCAGAGTCACCTGGGCTGCCCTGGGTAGAGGCATCCTGTAGACTCCTGTAGATTCCATAGCGACAGGTGGGAGTGAGATGGCACCTGACCACACACACACACACAGAACCCTGGCATGGCTCAGCGACAGTGCTCCCCTAACCTTTCCATGGAGCCAACGGAGCCCTGTGACCTGGAGTGACACAGGTGTCCCTGCTGGGCTGGGGGCTATGTGGTGGGGGCTTGCCAAACCAAAGAGGGGGCAGATTGAGGGAGCACCTCCCCTCTTGTAAGTGCTGGTACCCGGAGCATACACACGGGCCCTCCCTGCTAGCCCTGTCAGACAATGATACAGTGTGCATCCCATGCAACCATACAGAGCAGCACCATACAAGCCTGGCCAAGCCCTGGGTAGTGGTTGGTGAGGCAGTCTCCCACACACCCCAAGTGGGGCCCTCATAAACAACTGGGGGTATAGCACTACAAGGTCACCCCCTGGGGACAAGCAGACTCCCATCTCCCACCCTCCCACCCCAGACTTTGGCACCCTTGGAGTTAGCCAAAGCTCTGGATGGACCTAGGGAGAAACCTCCAATAAGCAGATAGAGGGTTGGTCCCCTCTCCTCCCCAAGCCCATTTAAGCCAGAGCTAGGTCAAGACTGAGAACAGGCATTCTGTGCATGTCCAAGGATCGACTCACATCTGTCGAATGGATGTTGAGCGCAGGACGGTCCCCAGGATGCTCACAGCCCCGCCCATGTGCACTCCGGCTGTGATTTAACCATCAGCCTGCCTGCGGCCATCTTCCAGGTAGGAATGTCAGCAGACCCCAGTCCTGCGTGTATGCACCTGGCGCAGAAGTGTTCGTGGTCTGCGGCATGCGGGTGGATGGCAAGGTCAGCGTGTGGAAGTATTCCCCCTGCCCCTGAGCCCACTCCTCTGCAGGAGATGGCATGCTGGGGTGCACGCCCACAGCACAGCCTGATAAAGGAGCGTTTCGGTGTTCAAGAGGTGTCCACCCAGCAGTGGTGCAATGCCAGCTCCGTGGCCGTGAACCCGGATATGGTCTAGGGTTTGGAGTCCTACTCCTCCTCCTACCCCTCCATCTCTTCCCATAGAGCTTTGTGCCCCCCTCCCTGCCACGGGGTGACAAAAACCAGCAGACACTGAGAATTTGCAGGACCTTTTATTAAATCCAGGCTAGTTGCTCCCATACCTGGGCAGGTACACACACTTGCAGTTCCTTTCCACCCCACCCACTCACCCAGAGCGAGTCCCAGGTCTCCCCCCGGCCAGGGGCTGTTCTGGGGTATGCAAGGGGGGCAGGTGGTGAGACATGAGCCTTTAGGCCTGGGGTTTCGTCACTGCATGATTTGAGAGGAGAGGGTGAGGGTGAAGGCGTGGCGGGGCTCTGCAGGCGGGGAGGGGCTGGGCTGGGATGGAGGCGGTGGCAGAGTTGGGTACTATCCACACTGCACAGGTCACAACAGGCGGTGTGTTCCCGCTTCCCGTGGTGTGACATCCCACAGGGGGCCTCCCCTGCCCACCTGTTCTAAACGAAGCAGCCATTCAAAAGCACATCCTACACAGCTACTTGGCGTGAGGTGGGCCTGGCGACGGGGGGCTAGCCCTGGAAGCCCAGCTCCTTGTACTTGGCAGCCATGTCATTCCGGAACAGCTCCAGGGCCTTGCTCATGGCCCCCTGGGCGTCGGCGCCGAAGTCCCCGGGGTGCTTGCTCTGCAGGACCTGGATAATGGCTTCTGAGATGAACTGCAGACAAGACATAGGAGAGTGCTGGTCACTGCCCAGTGTGTGTGTGGCGGGGGGAAAGCCATGGGGCAGAGCCCAGGACTCTGTGGTGCTATTCCTTTATGTCCACACCCAATGTGACCAGCCACTGCTGTCACCTTTGCTTTCAGAGGGGGAAACTGAGGCACAGGGAGGCAGAGCTGTGCACTGATGTCATGCAGCCAGGGAGAGGCACTGGAGTCCAGAGCCCACTCATGCTCACTGCCCTCAGGGTGGACCTAGCTGGCACCAGACATGGGCTTAGGGTACCCCCAACATGAGGGCAACAGAGAAGACAGGGAAAGGCACCTAATCCAGGGGTTCACCACCAGAAATTCTAGAAGAAAACAGTTCTCCCTCTGTGTGTATTTAATGACTTAAGATAGCTGCTACTATCAAGCCCTTATTTTTTTGGACCAGCACCATGGCATAGCAAGTTAAAAGTCCACCTGTAGTGCTGGCATTCCATGCGGGCCCTCATTTGAATCCTGGCTGCTCTCCTGGTGGTCTAGCTCCCTGCTAATGTGTTTGGGGAAAGCAGCAGAAGATGGTCCAAGTCCCAGGACCCCAGCGTGTAAGTGACATAAGGCAGGGAGGGGAAGTGTCAGCTCCTGGGGCACATCTGTGGGCAGCTTCCCAAATGCCCGTGCCCTTAGTGTCAGTACACGCACACACTTCAGTTCACCTCTAATTTCATAAGCAACAGTGGGATGGATTGTTGCACAGGGTAGCTGGGTAGCCAATTTTGCCCTTGGAGGGCCAGGTGCAGCTCAGGCCCATGCCCACAGTGGGGGTGGGTGCGGTCACACCTGCAAGGTGAGGGCTTCTGGGACCCCGGGGTGCCCCTGGCTCGGCCTTCCCTGGCTCTGGAGCAAAGTTGCTCCTACTCAGAACATTGGGGCAGCTGGAGGATGGCAAAGTCACGAGGACCCTCAGCGGCTGCCAACCCTGACTCCCTCCTAGCCATTGTCCCCTTTCTATAGGGAAGCCTATGGTCATCGGGGGAGCACCGAGGCAGCCCTGAAAGAGGCCTGCAGGGAGAAGCTGTGGAGAGCAGGAAGAGGCCCTCTCACAGCCCCGGGGGTGGCTCAGCGGGGACCAGTTAACACTCCCTCCCCGTCCTCAGCTCCGGCTCCCTCCCGGTCCCCAGCCCCGGCTCTGCCTCATACCTCCAGGTACTTGACAGGGATCTTGTGCTTGGTGGCATGCGACTGGGCCAGTGGCTTGAGCTCGGCCTCGTGCTGGCCCTTCTTCTTCAGGATGCCGCCCAGCGCACTCAGCACCGTGTTGCCATGCTTCTTCAGGTCGTCCGACCCCTTCATCTCATCCTCTGACTTGAGGTTCTTGAACTTGTCAAACTTCTCCAGGGTCTCGGGGTGATTCTTAAAGAGCCTGCAGAGACAGAGAGGGCTGCTGTGAGAGGCAGGCACATGGAAGGCGGGCTGGGGGCATGAGCCAGGGCACCTCAGGCAATCCACTGCCTCTCTGGGCTTTTCCATTCTAGCAATGGAATGAGGAGAATACATCTCTACTCCTCAAATGGCTACAATAGCTGAAGCTGAGCCAGGCTGAAGCCAGGAGCTGGGAGCTTCTCCTGGGTCTCCTATACAGGTACAGGGACCCAAGCATTTGGGCCATCTTCTGTTGCTTTCCCAGGAGCATTAGCAGGGAGCTGGACGAGAAGTGGAGCAATGGACCTCAAACTGGTGCCCATATGCTAGTGCTACAGGCAGAAGCTTAGCCTGCAATGCCATGGTGCCAGCTCCTTTTGTGTTGGGAGGTGCCAAGCCCTCAGCCTATATTGTAGGGCTGCCGGGCAGAGAGGAACCAGGCTGAAACTAGATCTGAGTGACTCACAAAGTCCCAGTGCCTGCTGGGGACCGTCCCTTGGCTTCCTGCCCAGAGGTCGACCTTGAGCTGTTGACATCCTCTGGGCTGTGGGAGGCTCCCTCCTCCTTGCAGCAGCCATGCCCCTGCGGAGCAGTCCTGGCAAGGGTCCCTGCACGTCCTGCTGTCTCCCCAACCCCAGCTCTGCCAGAAGGGGAGTGCCCTCTTCCTTCAGGCACCCGGTGCCCCCCCCCGACCATGACAGGGGCCTGGGAGAGGGACACTGGGCCGTCTCCTGTCCTGTTGCCTTGCTGTCTCCTTGTCTCTGCATTTGGCCTAGAACAAGGGACAGGGAGGAGGGAATTGTCCCGGAGCTCAAGCCCAAATCCGTGTGCGCATGTCAGGACCAGAGCAATGTTGTGAGCAGGTGTGTGGTGGGCCAGGAGCCCCCGGATGCCAGAGCGGCACGCGCTTTGAGATGCACACAAGGTCAAAACCCTCCCTGTCCCACACACGCATGCAGTGGCGTCAGGAGCACGTGGTGAGCACCGTTCGTACTTGCTTTCTGAGCCACAGTCCGGGAGGCACCCACTCTGGACGGGAGCTGCTAGTGTGCTAAGCCCGACTGCTGTGCGCGCACGCACACACACACACGTACACTCTGCTAGCCAACAGGACTCCACACAGCCAACCACACTGTCTCACGTTCACTCCTTTATTTTGCTTTAAAGATTTATTTTATTATTATTTGAAAGTCAGATATAGAGAGGAGGATATAAAGAGGAAGATCTTCTGTCTGCTGTTTCACTCCCCAAGTGGCCCCAATGACCAGAGCTGAGCTAATCCGAAGCCAGGAGCCTTTTCCAGGTCTCCCACGTGAGTGTAGGGTCCCAAGGCTTTGGGCCGTCCTCGACTGCTTTTCCAGGCCACAGGCAGGGAGCTGGATGGGAAGCGGGGCTGCTGGGACACGAACTGGTACATGCACGGGATCTCGGTGCGTGCACGAGGAGGACTTCAGCCACTAGGCTACCTCACAGGGCCCTCGTTCACTCCTTTAGAAAAGCCCAATGAGGCAGACTCCATGTCGCAGGCAAAGCCATGGTGACCTGGACAGTCTGAGTGACTGTCCAGGGACTTGGACCTGCATGGTATGGCATCACAGTGACACTCTTGACAACTGTGCAGAGCTCACTGCTGTCACACACACACACACACACACACACAGAGCAGTGAATGGACACCAGGCACACACATGTGCGCTCTTGTAGATGCCAGCACACATGAACATCTCACAGCACGCAGCCACTCACACGGACAGACACACGCACAGGGCATGCAACTATGGCCAGGGAGCGAGGCTCTGCCCCAGCATGCCAGGCCCACCCCCTGCTGTCCCCCAGGGACTTCGTCCAAAGCTTTGTGCGTCACTGACAGCTCGTCTCTGGCACCTCCCGTTCAAGGGTCCCCGAGCCTCCTGACTGTTCTTATCTGGCGACAATGATGCTGCCATGCCTGCTGACAGGCGCGAGACCTGGCATCCCCCCAGGAGGGCCAAGGTCAAGACGCTGGCAGACTGCGAGGCCGGGCCTCGAGGAGGCTGGGCACCCCAGCTGCCGCTTTCCCCGACGGCCATGGCAGGAAGCATGGGACTGAAGTTTCCGAAGCTGAGTTCTGGTCCCAGCTCTGTCGCCGACGTACCCCGTGACATAGAGGCTCTTGCCAGTTCTCTGGCTCTCAGGTCACTCATATATCAACTGGAGGTACCAGTCTAGCTGATCTGTCAACCCCCAGGCTCAGCAGGACAGAGCCAGAGGGGAGCCCATGGCCCAGTGGACAGTGCAGGAGAAGGAGGTCCCTGGGGATCTACCAGGTCACCCCATGCCCAGAGGAAGGTGGCCTTGGCCTGCTAACTTCCAACCCATGGGGACCCTTGCCGGACGCGGAGAGGCTGTGGCTGGCCCAGCTCGGTGGCCGAGAGTCGACAGGGCAGGAATTTGTACCCAGGCTCTGCCAACCAGCTGAGCGGCTCCGGGCAGGTCACCCAGCGCCTCATCAGCTGTGGGGACTCTGAGCCTCTCAGCCTCAGAGGGGTCCCCAGACATGTGAGTCACCACACACCGAACACAACTCCGGATGTGTGCTGCAGACACGCTTGCGGTATTCCTCCTTCCCACCACTGTCACCTGCATGAACACGCCATCTTCATCGCCACCACCACCATCATCATCACCGTCATCATCACTGTCTTCATCATGTTATCATCCCCATCATCTTCACCATCACCACCATCATCATCCTCGTCATTGCCACCACCATTAGCACCATCCTTGTCACCTTCCCCATGGATGACATCAGTATCAGCAGGAACCCCAAGTTCTGCCTGTTGCTGACACTGATGTCTGAGACCGCTGGTCTCCCTGGACTGTGAACAGCAGTGGCAGCCAGCAGGTGGTTTTCAAACTTTGCCTGCTATAGACCTGTTTGTTTCAACAAGAATGCCCAAAGAAACATCCCTCAAAGATGTCGGGGCAAGACAAGGAAAGGCAGGGGTGTGGAGCCCACCCAGCAGCCCCCTCCCTCCTGCACCCCATACCTTGAGCCGGCCTCGCCTGCCTGCCCTCCCAACACACACCATGATGTGGTGGTCATGGGTCCTAGAATTCCATGACCACCACATCACCATGTGCAGAGCTCAACATGAGGCGTCCTCTCTTATAACCTGTGGCTCTGGAGAAATGACCTTGACCAGGTCACCAAGGACATGCAGAGACAATGCCCAGAGCCCTCCAGGAGGCCCACTCCTGAGAGGGCATTGTGCAAGCTGAGATTCGGCACTCTCCTGTACCCCCAAGAGGCCCCTCCAACACCCCCATGCTGAGCGGACAGCAACAGCCTGTGTGGCCACAGTGAGTCCCATGGCCCAAGACATGACACACTCGGGGCCCTCTGGGGCCTTGGCAGAGGTTGGCAGTGCTGGGTATCAGGTCTCATCCCTGGGCCCTGGCCCTGGCAGGCCTCTGCGACCCAGCCCAGGGAGGCAGGAAATAGTTCCCTCCATGACGCAATGCCCCAAGTCTCCTTCAAGATGTCCAAGCCGCCAGCTCCGGGCTGGCAGCCCACAATCACCTTGGAAAGACCCCTGCTCGGCACATGCCGGTTCCAACCCGTGACAGCCCTGCCTCGTCTGTGGTGGCAGGAGGGAGTGTGGACTCAGAGAAGCCCTGGCTTTAAAGCGGGGGGCACCTGTGAGGCCACAGCACACACGTCCTCAGGCAACAGAGAACAAGAGGCCAGTAAGGGAAAGAAACTTGCCCAAGGTCACCCAGCAGATGAGCTCAGGAACTGGTGCACACTTGGAGTGGGACGCTTTCATCCAATCTGATGGAGAACATTGCTGCCCAGGGCGGGGGCGGGGGCAGAAAGTCACAGGGGAACACCCTGACATGCCATGCCTGTTAGGGTCTGTCCTTCCTCCAGTGGACCTAACTGGGACCATTAAGAACTGGAACTTCAGATGAAGGAGCTGGGAGCAACAAGTGCCTTCCCCAAGGAGGTGGGCACTGCAAACACGCACTGCCCCATGGGAGCCCAAAAGGACATCCGAGTGGGAGCAGGGCGCGGGGAGACTGGCAGGGGATACCTGGGACGGTGGGGGCAGCTCAGACACAAGGACAAAGTCCCGCGGGAAGTAAAGGCCAAGGGAAATTCACGGGCTTGTGGCCACCCTGGGACCTGTCTCTTCCCAGAGCGGACAGTTGCCCAGGACACAGAGAGGGGGCTGGAGGGAAGAGGCTCTTGCACCACTTGGGGGTCACAGAGTCTGCGTGCCACCCACAAGCTGTTGCCACAGACAACACTCAGACACTTGGTTCATCAAGCTGCCGCATCACTCCAGCTCTCACTAGGCATAAATTACAAAGCTTGTTTGCACCAAACTGAACTTCTCTTTTAATTCCCTTCTCCCTGGGGCACTTTGTGGCACCCACTTGTACGCAAGGAGCTGTGCTGGCCCCTTACGTGCAAGCGTCCCCTGTGACCTAGGACTCAGGACTACCCCCCATCACTCACTGGGGGTGGAGGCACTGCTTCCCCAAGCTCACACAGCTGCCCCGCAGCTGAGCCAGGTCTATAGCCGGGTCTGTCCCCAGCTTGAAGGAACCTGAACTCTGCAGAATTGAGTGGACTTGGGACTCCGGGCATATCCTTGCCCGCTCAGGTCCCATTTGTCCTTGTCCTGTAAGGGAGGTGGCAGGATCCCATCTAGGCCTGGATAGGGGGTGCACCAGGCCCCCAGGGTCTGAGCCTCAACTTTCACCCACCCTCCTCTGGCAGCTGGCATCAGCCTGGGCAGAAGTCCAATTACCAGTACCCCTAAATCAGCAAGATCAAAGAGGGTAGAGCCGGTGCAGCCAACTGGTCTACCCCAGGCTGGCTTCCTTGCCCCTGAGTGCCCTTCTTTGCCAGGGTGTGGGCCAACAGGAAACAGTACGACTTCTTTTACCTGATGAGGACTTCCTGCCCGTGGCCGGCGAGGTCAGCCTCCACCTTCCCCCAGACAGTCAGAACCAACTGCCACTCGCCGTCGCTGAGCCCCATGACTTTCTGAAGAAGACAAGAAGAGCGGGCGTGGGTTGGTTGGGTGCTGTGGTAGCGACAGCTGGGCTCTGCAGGCTGCCTAGCCCCAAAGGGGCTTTTATACCTCGCCTTGGCTGGCTGTGGGTCACTGATGGCGCGTGCCCGCCCTCCTCCTCCCCGCCCTCCTGGTCCTTGTCTCTCATGCAGTGTTCTAATCTCTGCCTTTCTCTAGCCCTCACATGGAAAACTATTTGGGGCAGGTGCCATTGTGGGGAGTCAGGACAAGTCAGGCCACAGGGGAGGGAGGGAGGCACCGGGGGCGGGGGCTGCGGGCTGAGCCAGGGCTCTCGTCACCCAGAGAAAGGGCACCACCAAGGCCAGGGCCTGAAACCCAATGCCCCAGCTGTCAGCCATCCCAGGAGGACCTGTCGTTGTTTCTGAGCTGGGGCAACAGGTGCCCGGGAGGCCCCGGGGACAGTCCTGGCCCCTCGTGGGCCCCTGGTGTTCCTTCTACCCTTTCCAACAGGTGCCCCTCATGCGGCCCGAAGTGACCGGGAGCAGCCCACGCGGCTGTGTTTGCAGCTGGGGGTGGGGGCAGGCCAGGCACGTCCAGCACCTTCAAGAGAACATCTGGCTCGGTGCCACTTCCCTCTGCAAAGCTGCACTTGACCTATACCTTCAAGGTACAGTGCGTGCTCCCCCTGCCCTTGACTTAACTCCCGTTGTGTTAGACTTCCTGATTTGGGCACCTGCTTCTCCAGGACTGCAACAACAGCCGATTCCCACAGACATTGCCGGCTGCCAGGCCCTGCTCCCAGCACCGTGTATGCACTACTTCACCCAGCACCCCGGGAGCCGTGCACGGCACAGACCAACGTGGACTCCATGTAAACGAGGCACAGTTAGGGGAACTGGCGGAACTGTTTCTGAGAACCCTGTTTTGGTTTTCACGTGAACAGGGACTCTACCTCCCTGCTCCGTGCATCCCTTGGGCCTCACTCGGTGCCTGGAGCAGGTGTGAACTGAACCCATGTTTGCTGAGAAAATACAGTTTGGAGGAGGGCAAGTGCAGGATGAACAAACTTGTTTACATCCACGCATCCACCCCAGGTCCATCCATCCACCCTCCATCCATCCCTCATCTACCCATCGCTCCATCTGTTTGTCCACCTACCCATGCATTGTCCATTCATCTATCAGTCATTGAGCATCCACCTGCCCACTCACGCATCCACCCATCTCCCACCCCACACACAGCATCCCTAGAGTGTGTCACTCACTACACCCTGGCAATCACAAGACCAAACAAAACCCATCCCTGCGTTGAAGAGACCCACAGTGTCCTGGGGGAGGCAGGTGAGAGGAAGAAACCCAGGGCAGCTGGTTAGTGCCGGGGAAGGTACCCCCGAGCCCTTCCCTCGGGGCTCCCCAGGGGCTGCACAGTGTACAAGGTGCCTCCCATCTTCAGGACGCCCCAGAGACAGGGCGAGCACTTCCCACCCTACAGCTGTGGAGGGCAAGGGTCAGCATGGGCAGGGAGGGAGCTCTCCTGATTCTAGCAGCAATGCTGTCTGGCTCCCCCAAGCATACATATGTCTCCCCTGAACCTGGTGATGGGGCCAGGGCTTGGCTCCTGACCCAGGCCAACCAACAGGCAGCCTGTATTTGAACAGCCATTGTCTGTTAGCTCCATTAATCAGATTCTTGCTTCAAAACATGAGTTCGCCTGTTTAATAAGGATCAGGTAGGAAAAAAATGTGGCGTGGAAAGGAGTCAAGTTCATGGCCGGCACTGGGTAGGCACCTTGGGTCACGGGAAGCCATGAGCTGCCAGGAGCTAAAGCTGCCGTAGCGGCATCATTCATTCACTCACTCATTAGTTCATCCAACAGCCCCATCCTGGAGTCCACGCAAGCATTAGAGCGAAGTGAAACTGCCACAAGCTCTGCCTGGGCCTCGGACTCCTGTTGGTCTCTGTCCCTCTCGAGGTGAGCTTGTTGTCAGCTGAGGGACAGGAGAGGGAAGTCAGGACCACCTGTCCTGGGGCACATTCTGGATTTCATTCACTCCTGGAGTCCCGGCTGATTCTGCACACACAGAGGGCATTTTCCCAGCCTTCCCCTGCTTGTCCTTCTGAGTGTCTCTGCAGCCCTGGGCCTGGGCTGTCCAAGGTTGCCTCCGGCCTCTCCCTGGCTTCTCCCCTGCCCGCCAGCCTCCCAAGGTGGCTGGGACAGCCCACAGGACTGCCAATCTCATCTACCTGTCAGCACAGCTCAAGTGTGTCCTAGGATGCTCTCACCCACCGTTAAGCACCCCTGTGAACTGCTTGTGGAAACGTGGGGCCCTGGAGCCCACAGGTCTCTGGAGTTTTCCCATTAAAGCCAATGGGCAGGCGCAGCCCGCAGCTGTTCTTACTCAGGCTTCGGTACAACTGCGTGGCTGCCCCACGGTTGCCATGGCTACCTGGAGTCACCAGCTCTGTTTGGGGGCTATTATTATCCCTTCCATGGCCTTCCCTGTGGCCTGGAGAGGGAAGCATGATGGGCAAGCCAGGCTGCCTGTGTGTGCAGAGCCTTGCATGCTCCACATACACACACACAACGCACACTCACAAGCTAGCTTGATGCCCTACAGAGGGAGGCCCCCTTGCTCCTTCCTTCTCTCATGTTCCAGGATTGGAGACCTGCCGAGTCATCCTCAGGTCCAAGTTCTGGGGCCTTGAGATCCAAGGACTGACGTTCTAGAATGCCAGGGGGGTGGGGGGCTCACCCTGGATGGGTCTAGAACCCCTGTTCTAGGTTCTAGATGCACAGAACGCCGGAGACAGCTCCAGAACTTCCAGGGGCAAAGAACCTGAAGGCAAAGCAAGGGCTTCAGCAGTCCCTCGTCCAGTTTCCCAACACCAACTGTTACCTGGCCCCTGCTTGAATACCTGTAGGAACGGTGCGCTCACTCCCAAAACTTTAAAAAAAAGTTTTTTTTTTTTTTTAAATTATTGAGCCCACATTTGCCTGCTGGTCATGCTCACCCTGCCATCCTGGCTCCGCCGTCTCCCTGGGGACCAGTGAGGCTCGGGATGGACTTCAGACGCATGCGTGGGGGTAAGTAAACATCAACACTCCCCAGCAAGAGAAGCGGCCACACACAGAAAGGGCCTTCGTGGGCAGAGGGGTCGTCTTCTGGTGGGGAGGATGAAGAGCTAAGCAGCAGCTCAAGTTCAAAGCTCTGACTTTGAACAACGAAAGTGCGGACTTCACGATGATGCTAGCCGGAATCGCTGCTGACACCACGCCAGTTCCGCAGCCAGAACCCATGGGGTTGCCACCTACTCCTGGGAATCAACAGCAATGACATCCTTCTCAACCTAAGGCTCTTTGCATCCATGCTATGTTTCCAGAGCTCTGTCCTCTGCCCCCGCTGAGCACCTGCACTGGCCGGGGTAGACAGGAGTCCAGACTGGTGAGAAACAAACGGCTCTACCAACTTCAGCCTCTGGCACCACCCACCCCTCGGCACCCATGCCCAAGACAGACCTAGCGAGGGTGTCACAGCACCCACCACACGTGTGTGAGCCCCAGCAAGGGCTCAGAGTCCAGCCAGGGTTCCTAGGAATCCGCCTGCAGGGCTATTATCCTATGACTGCCACTAAGAGGCAGCTTGGCCCCTCTAAAGCAGAGGTCCACTCAGTTTGATCCCTTCCTCCTGCTTCCGGGAGGACAGGCTAGGCACGGCCTGTGTCTGCCCCACACCCCACCCCCGGCTCGGTTCCTGGCCAGGTCCACTCCCCTGAGCCAGCGCCAGGGTAGCACTGGGCGCGGGGCTGCAGCCAGGGAGTTTGCAGGATCTGCATGACAGCCCCTCACCAGGGAACCCCCAACCCCCGCCACCAGAGGTCATACTAACCGCAGTGCCCTGGTCCTGGTGCAGCTGCACCCCTGCACCCAGGGCCAGGGCCGATGGGGGAGGCGGCTTCGCGCTGCGCCGAGAGGAGCAGGGAACTAAAAATACAGTTGCTGCTCCTCCCCCTCAGGCCCACTGGGGCACATCGGAGGAGGAGGGTTGGCCGGGACAAAGGGATCCTAATCCGTGGTCAACAGGTGCAACCGGGGACAGGGCCTGCTCCCCCAACCCGCCCTGGGCCGCTCCAAGCCAAGGCGGCTCCCGGTCGCCTGTCTGGCCCCACCTTCCCGGCTGCTGTCGCCTGCCGGAGACCCGGCGCCACCTCCGCTGTCCCCAAGACCCCTCCTTGAGGCCCTCTCCCAGGAGCAGCTGCCCCTCGAGGCTTGTCCCCCCTCTGCTCGGCAGCTGTGTCCTCTTCGCCCTCGGGGCTCCCACTGGGCACTTCACTTCTTGGTTCCCTCAGCTCAGGCTTGCGCCAGGGTGGGGACAGGGAGCTCCCCTCCATTTTCAGCTCGCCTGCCAACCAGGGCACGTTTGCATCTGCCACCTTCGGTCACCTTGGGCCTTGAGACACGGAGGCCCAGAGAGGTGGAGGGGCCTGGCTCAAGTCACACAGCTGCAAACGCTAGGATGGAGCCTGGATGGCCCGTACGGGGACGGCCGGTAGTTCACGGCCAAGACCTGCTGTGGAACCTTTCCTCTCGTCCTCTCCCCCAGCACACGGCGGAAAGACCTGGGCCCATTTGCTCTTAGAAGGTTAGTTTTCTGCTTCCTAGCTGGCCGAGGTCTGCAGGTGGTCAGGGCAGGTCCAGCCTCGGGCGCACCCGCACGGACACTGCTGCCCTCTGGTGGCCACGAGGCGCCTCTGCACGCTCCCAGCTCGCTGGCCCCCTGGCTGGCAAGACAAGGGGTGGCTGGCTAGCTAGCTGCTTTTCATCCTTTTTAAAAAATGTATTTGGAAAGCAAAGTTACAACGAGAGCGAGCGAGCTTCCGTCTGCTGTTTGACTCCCCATCTGAGCCGGGGTAGAGCTGGGAGCTTCCTCAAGATCTCCCACGTGGGTGCAGACGACCAAGCTTTTGGGTCACCCTCGCCTGCTTTTCCAGGCTCACTAAACAAGGAACCGATGGAACGTGGAGCAGAGCCCAGAGGGGATGCTGTCGCTGCAGACAGCCACTTGAAACAAATA